GTCATCTGAACGACATGCACACGGTTGTTGTCGAAACGTACACGAGGATATCCATCACTTATTCCGATTACAGTTCCTCTCAAACCGTTTACTAATGATTTGTCTAGATTCTTTAACAAAACTACTCTTGCTCCAACTTTTAGAACTAAAACTGAAACGGCAGAGCATCTTCGTTCAAATACAGACACCTTACCGTCGTCCTGTGATCTATAGACAAATTTTTCTCCAGGAATAAGTTCAATACACTCGTCATTGGCTAATTTGGCATCTTCTCTAAGAGGAAATAATCGAACTTTATCCAAAGGATCGCATTTCAAATCACGACTTAAATAATGAATTAAATTTCGGGACATAACAGAAATACAGCCATTTCTGACATCTTGAAGGAGATGGCGAAGTTCTTGCTCGTTCTGTCTAAATATTTTTGTCAACACCAAACTAAAATCTACACATTTATTCCATAAAGTAGACTTAAAGCAGTAATCCTGTTTTTCACAGCCTTCAGTGCTGACAGGTTTGAGCTGAACGAAGTCTCCACTCAGCAACAACTGAATACCACCGAATGGTTGAGAATTACCTCGAATTCCACGAGCAACATAATCGAGCTTTTCGAACAGGGCAGCTCCAATCATAGATATCTCGTCTATAACTAAAATTCTGCAATCATTCCAACGTTTAACAGCTTCTTCATTCGATATAACAGTGCCTAAGAGCTCGTGTGAAGATTTTGTTCCAGTGTTTATTCCAGCAAATGCATGTATAGTTGTTCCTGATATATTGACTGCAGCAATTCCAGTCGAAGCAGTCACAAAACAACATCCGCGAGCGGATTCTTTTTCCACAATTTTTTTTATCAAATACGACTTTCCACAGCCACCTTGTCCAGTAAGGAACAAACTGTATTTTGACTCAACTAATTTCAATATAATTTCTTGCTCGTGACTTAAAGCATGCTGTTTTGAATTCATTTCGCGCTCCCGCGAACAGCCGAACAATGAAATGTCATAAAATATGTGCCAGATTGTTTAGATTATATGAAGTTCTTGTGTATTTCTGGTTGCGACTGGGTTACGAGCATAACCCGAAATCCAAATCCAAATAACGCATAGCCATTGGTCAATAAGCCATCACGTGATGTTGATTTCACTCCCCTCCTTTCCTCAATTTTTTCCCTTTTTGCTCGGCCTTCGGGTTCGGAACTCATTCGGCCGAACTTCGTGACTAGCGCCTGCGATATATTAATGAATGATACCGCATATATTTCAAAATGGCGGACAAAAACAAAACGAAGGTAATAAAGTGATTAAAAGACAGGCAAAACGAACTCTTGCGTGCTCCCTTGCACACACCAGCAAGGAGAGCAAGGTCCATAACGCCGGGGGCCCCTTACCCTCGACCTGACCTTGGCTCTCTCCGTTTCTCTCACCTCACCACGGGAAAGCCAGGCCCGGACATGGGATTCAATGTCCATAACGGTGACTGGGCCTATACCCTCATCCTGACGTTGTTTCTCCAGCTGTTCTGGGAGGCCTATACCTCCCAGAAACCGCACTTTTCCGCCACCCAATTTAGGCCACAAAGGATTTGCGTGAATTATTAATATACCGTATTTGTGTTGTGTTTACATTCAGATGTCAGAAGTGGTTGCTCAAACAGCAAATTAGTTTACTTTGAAACTAATATTTCGCTTTGTAAGCCACATTATTATATCAAATTTTCTGTCTTCTGATAGTCCAGTCAAATCACTATAAGTACATGGTCCTGATCAAAAAATTCTATTGCAATTTTTTTTACCTCTGGTCACAGATTGACTGGACTATGAGTTTTGTTGTCTTAAAAATAAACATCTGTCAGCGAAATATATTTGGCATTTGATGCTGTCTGGCCTAGATTCATACAGTGTAAATAGGCCAATCCTGTCTGCGTTTTAAATATAACCGAACATCTTCAGTACCGCATCTGATCATTAATGGCGCATTTTATTACCTCTAAATTCAATTTATGTGCAATTTTGACCATAATTCAAGCGACGACTGCTTTCAAAATATAAAACTATTTATTCCGCCCCTAAATCACTTTCCAAAATATAGAAGGTTCGCTGTGATTGGTCGATCGGAGGGAATGGAATGTGCAGCTCGTTTCAGCAGACGTTATAGTTAAGCCGGTTTTCCACTAGGCGGAATTTTGCGCGCGGAGCGGAATTTTTCTTTGTCTTGTGATTTCTCGGGTGGAACTAATTAGAAAAGATAAAGAAAGATTCCGCTCCGCGCGCAAAATTCCGCCTAGTGGAAAACTGGCTTTAGCGAGAGTTAGAGCTATAAGAAAGTCTGCGAGGGAGACTACGATATTAGGGGTGTAGAAACCTCGATCCGTATAAATGTAATAATTAGTTTGTCCTTACCAAAAGTAAATGTAGTATTTTGTATTTTCTTTCCGTCCTGACAGATGGTATGTCCACCAACCAATTATCTTTACAATCGTTTTCCCTAGCAACACAATATTTGTATACTTCATGTTAATTGTTCTAAGTCACATACCCGACCATTTTTCATTTAAATTTTCGATTAACAAATTCCATAAATTCTTTTCAGATTTGTAGAGGATTTTTTCCACAAAATTGTCTATTGGCTGAGATATCTCAGACTGTTATTCTCTGTTTTGACACAATCATTTTGAACAGCATTTTGACTGGCTGAATGGCACACTCCCAGGGTGCGATAATTGAATATTTTTAGCCGTACTTGACTGGTACTCCGACAACTCTTGTCGCGTACCTGGACTGGTACAAACTTAAGAGTCAAGACGTACCTAAGACTACTTCCGAGTCATGCGTTTTTATACCTACGTATAGTTTACTGGTCCAAAAGCAAAAAATGTGTGAGCAATTTAACAATTTTGTACAAATGAATCTTTAAATATGGTATTTGTACAACATAATATAACAGTTTTCAAAGCGTCGACGTTGTGACTCGAATGCCATCGCTCATTTACAGTGGATAAGTCTAACAGTCTGACCTCAGCCACATACAGTGTAGTTTTCCTCATTGGGCCTAAAAAAATACCTGCGGTTCCGGTTTCATATCGCGAAAATATTAGGGTAGGTAGGTCGGAAATAAAAAAAAAAATTGAACATTTTTTTCACGGTTTTGGCGGGGTTTTGCTGGGCGATTTTCGGTAGAGTCCCGACATCATTATTAACTAGAGATGCGTAGTTACTACGGCCCAATTTAGGCAATTTGGTTCAATAATTATTGTGACAACAGACGTCATTTTGGCACGCTGTACGAGCAGCCCGCAACCACCCGGAGAAAATAGGGTCACACGGTCAATCGTGTTGAAAAAAATAATAGGGTGGGCAGAAAAAAATATGGTCAGTCGGGATACCGAAACCACAGGTATTTTATTTTTAGGCCTTGGTATAGCATTGACAATTAAGCCCAGGTCACACCACACAACGATACGATGATACGATAACTTGTAAACACGCGATAATTGGTAAAAAAATTATGTTGGTGTCCACACTACAACGAAAACGATAAAATTATCGGCGTTTGACGATAACGATTTTAAAATCGCTCACCCGAGCGATTTCCTTTTGGCCTTTTTCATCCCAAAATATGTTGGATGCGTGGAATTTACATGTATAGCTAAAATTATTCACGGTTTTGAATACGTTGGCAGGTTTGCTAGTTATTGCTAGAAGGAAAATGTAAGTACGCGAATAGCAAATTTCCGCGTACCTACGTGGTACTTGCCTAAAAACAAGGAAGTACCAGACCATAAATTTGGCGTACTTCCGGTACGTTGGTACGCGAATTATCGCACCCTGCTTGACTCCCCTGTTACAAACTACTGTTATTAGTCTGTATAAACATTTCTTAAAATATTTACATTTATCAAATAACTGTGAAAAAAACATGATGTGGCCAATTGCAATTGAGCACCAACTAATTCTCAAAACGGCATACAACTTAAATGCTCAAATAAGAGTTACTGGATTATTTAGTATTAATTAAATGAGAATCAAAACTATTTTCAATTAAGAATGTGAATGAACATTGAAAGCGAAACACAATTAGCAATATGATGCATATATTTTTTGTGTTTTGATGTTATGTACTCAGGTGAATCTGTTTTTGAGTGTATAATTATCCACACTGGACAGGCTGGAAAGTTAGTCTGACCACGGTAGGAATCTAAGGTACTAAACTTTAGTTCCGAAGTACCATGCACACTCGAACAGACTTGGCCTCGTAGCTCAGTTGGCAAAGCATTGGACTGGTATATCCCAAAGGTTGCGGGTTCGACTCCCACCGTGGTCAGGCTAACTTTCCAGCCTGCCCGGTGTAGATATACACTCAGAGTAACATCAAAACGTAAAAACACAATATGCATATGTTACTGTACTGCATGATGGCGGCAAGGGCTCCCACCGCTATTGCAAGATGGCGGCAAGAGCTCTCTTGGCATTGCTATGTTTTGCTCTGTGTATTACACAACAATTTTCAAGATATTTCGTAAATAAACAAAGAAAGAACGAGAGTAGATATACAAGATCACTCTATTTTAAAATAAAAGAATCACTGTCGAATATACAGCCTGATGGAGATGGATTCAGATGGTGTATTAGCAGAGATCGGAAATATAGACAATATATTGGGCAAGCAGCCAGTAGTGCTTGTGCAGTACAGTTCACAAACAACAAATGGAGTAGCATACAAAACTCTGTTCTACTGTTAGCAGGAGATATTGCTTCAAATCCTGGGCCCATCAGATCACCATGTCAGATTTGTGGCTATCCAGTACGAAGAAGCGAGAAAAGATTAAACTGTACCCTATGTCGAGATTGGATTCATGCACAATGTATGGCGTTGCCTGATAAGGAGCTCAACAAACTCACTAATTGTGATTTGTCCGAGTGGAGCTGTGATAAATGTAAACTGAGAACTTCGACGAATAACGAAGAAGACTCAGTTTGTGAAGACATGTATGATAATTTCAGAACAACGCTTAAAGGTAAGGGGGTAAAGATAGCTCAGATAAACTGCCGTGGAGTAAGATCTAAGCTAACGGAAATTATCTTACTGTTGAAAACATGCTCTATTGACATTCTCGGTATTACGGAAACGCATCTGAACGAGAAAATAACAGATGATGAAATATATCCATATATATCGATTCTTCAGGCAAGACAGACAACACAAAGAGGGTGGAGGCTGTTTGGTTTATTATAAAGAGAACTTAAATGCCATTCCAAAACCAGAATTTATGGTCAATAACATAGAGGCCTTATGGCTGGAAATCACAATAAGTTCGCAGCGGCTATTGATAGGGAATGTCTATCGACCACCAGATAACAATGAATTTTATAATGAGTTCAATAGAATCTTAGAACAATTGTGGCTTAAGCGTAACAACATGCTAATCATGGGTGACTTTAACTCTGATCTTTTGAAAACAAACAAAGACAAAAGTCAGTACGGAAGAAAACTACTAAAACCTATGGCTTAACAAATGTCATCACAGAACCAACTAGAGTCGCCAATTCATCAGCGACGTTATTGGACTTAATTCTGGTGAGCAATAAATCTAAAATAATAAAAGCAGGGACATTAGGGACCGGTCATAAAGTAACTGCTAGGGTGGGCTGGACTGATTTGGGATGGGCCATGGAAAATCTTTGGGCATTTTCGATGGGCCGCCAATTTTTTTGTATGTCAACGGTTGGGCCACCAAACATGGGCAGATATTAAATTAATAATAGAAGTAAATAAAACTATCCAAATTATTAAATGCAAATGATGTTATTGAAGCCAGTACTTTGTTTTATACAACAACAAGAAGTAGTCGAATCACAGCAAATACAACCAAATGGAGAACAGCTCAGTATGGTAATTGGTGATGAATTTGTTGGTCAACTTGGTGCAATTATGTTGGTCAACTTGGTTTATTATACCTGTATAAGTGTATTTAATTTTCCCAATTTAGATTGGGTGGGTGGGTCATGAAATAAATTTGGTAAGATTAGATGGGCTTTGAAATTTTTACCTACATCCTAAGATGGGTCACCAAACTTGTGATTTACCTCCAGCCCACCCTAGCAGTTACTTTATGCATGACCAGTCCCTTAGATCCGGCTATATCAGATCACAAAATGATATATGCTATTGTGAATTTAATTAATAAGAAAAGAGAACACCCAATAATCAAAACAGTGAAGAACTACAAATATGTAGATAAAAGCAAATTCAAATCAGCATTACGAAACGTCCCATGGTGGGTATGTGATATATTCGACGATTTAGATGATGTGCAAAATGCCTGGGAACTGTTATATAAAGACGTGGTAGATGAGTATATCACAGAGCGAAAGGTCAAAGTGAGGCAAAATTCATTGCCGTGGGTTAATACGGAAATCAGGAAGCTTTTGAATAAGAGATTTAAACTTTTGAAGAACTGGCAGCAAACAAAAAATCCAATAGCACATAAGAAATATAAGGAAGCGAGAAATTTAGCAAATATTCGGATGAGAAAAGCGGAAGCCGAGTATTGGAAAAGTGAATTTGATAATGCAACTAATTCTGGAAGGTAGTGAAGAAAGTGCACAGGAAAACGAAAGCAATAAAAATTGGACCACTTGAAGATGACCTAGGAAATGTACAAATAAACGAAAAGAAAAAGGCTGAATTGATGAATAATTACTTTGCAACAGTTGGCGAAAAGTTGGCGGAATCATTCCCTGCACAAATAGAATCGGAACAGTTTATATTGAGAATAACT